AGGCTTCGAAGCCATGTGGCGACGCAAACGTTGTTCGTTGGAGAGCAAACTATCTTTACAAATAAGCCATAAAAGAGACTTAACCCTTCGCAGCCCACGGTATTTCATGAAGAGCCTCCAAACGGCCTTATCCGCTTGAGCAGCGGAATGTGTGCGACAGATGTAAGCACTTTTAGTCGAAAAATTCCTGTTCTTGTCCCATTTCCATCCTGGGATATTCGCACCTCCATTAGGAGAGGGTGGTTCGACAGTCATAACATGAGGATGATTGAAGGAGGGAGTGCAGAACGCAAAAGATTCCACTTCCAGTCGCTATTGAAGTCAACCATATCGCTGACCGTAACAGGCTCCACCAACGATAGATCAAGGTTTAAACAAAATTGACGTAAAGGACCTACATCAGCCAACCAATGATCATGCCAGAAGTTCATCCCGTTCCCATCATCGAGGGTCCAAACAAGACCATTACGAACATATTCTCATACAATACTTATGTATTTCCATAAACAAGAGCACCCGTTCCGAGCAACGAAGATCGAAACACGATCATTCATTTTATATTTGGCCCGAAGTACTCTAGTCCAAAGTTGTCCCTGTTGTGAAATAAGACAGAAAACGATCTTTATTAAGAAGGCATCGTTTTGGTTCTGAAGCCTCCTAATGCCAATACCACCATTAATTTTCGGCTTACAAACCTCCTCCCATTTGACAAGATGTACACCACGCTTATCATCAGTACCTCCCCAAAAGAAGCGACGAATTAGTTTTTCCATGTTAATATAAAAAATATTTTTTAAGTTAATATATATAAATTATTATGAATTTAAGTTAAGTATTTATACATTAAGATACAAAATATATACATCATGTTGTCCACTTTAGACCAAGCATTGGTCTTGGCTCAATGATTGGGTACTTGCTTGGTTTTTCCAAGGGATCCAAAATCAAATTCCTTTGACCCCAATTTGCTTTGATTTGTTTTCTTTCAACTAGAGAGTGATATGTGTCACCCTTTGATTGGTGAAAAATAAATTTATTTTAATTTATTAGAAGTATAACTAAATTGAGAGAATATGTAAATAAAATAGAGCAAATGTGTTTTTATACCAATAATATTTAGTGACAATTAACTCATTGTGATCATATCTTAATTAAATAAAAATGAAAGTGACCATATTATAATGTTTTTGAAATTAATTAGGAAAATTGGATTAAATAAATGAGTTTTCCTTGTGCTATATCATTTGCCATAGATTTTAAAATGGTGTGGGCTATATTGGGCTAATAAATTAATCTGCTTGGATTATTGGCCTAATTTTGACCAACATGAGATCTCATTTGTCATTATTTTTACCATTATTCTGATTCAACCTAATTCAATTGTACTAATTTTTACTTTGAAAATTTAGGTTTCATTTAGATCATATTTTAATAAGGGTTAGGTCAGATTTAGTTTATAGTGAAAAAATTTCGACTTGACCTATATAATATTATAATTATACTTGTATATAAAGAGATAATTATAATAATAGATCTTTCTATATTATTTTTTAATTAGATCCTTATTTTATTTAATAAAAATAAAATATATATAAAAGTTGAGTTGGGTACGAGTTTTGATCCAAAAAGTTAGATCAAGTCAAATATGGATAAAAATATTTAATTTCCAGGTCAAATTTAGATGAGTCAAAAGACTCAACCTAACTTAATTTATGAGCATCCCTAAATTTATATATAAATAATAATTAAATTTATACTAAATAAAAAATAATGAATGAGGGCATGAATGCTTGATCCAAGCAACACAAAAATCTAGGTTATCCTTTAGAATATGTGTGTTTTAGAAGAAAATAAATTGCTAGATTCATATTATAAGAATTTGACACGTATATTAACATTTTCCTTAATTTTCCACAAACGTATATTTTTGGAATAATCAACCTGTAAATCTCCAAATGTTACCTTCTTTTCGATTTGGTTAGTAAACTTCTAATTACCACTTTTTAATGTTATATTTAGTATCGAATTGAATCATCTTCTAACCAACTAAACTTAATCAAATATAACACCCTTCTAGAGATTTAAACTGATATTTAAATCACTAAAATGATATTTTCCGATTATTGGACCCATAAAAATGCTAGTTTTAAGGCTTAAATGCTATATCCCTTTTGTAGGTGACAAGGTGTATTAGGTTTAACCTTTATAATAAATATTTTGATATTTTGAGGTTGTATTCAGTTTAACTTAAATATTTGTTTTGCTAGAAATTAGTAACTTTTCTAATCTAGTTTCTTTTATTAATATGGGGCAAGTACAATATAGTATCTGTTCAAATATAACTCTCAACTATTTGACATTGAACATTCTGTCTGTTCAAAGATAACTCTCAACTATTTGATATTGAACGCTCATGCTCATGATATTTTTGGTGTTCGAACACATGCTCTCAAGGAATAACAATAATTCATTTACTACTAAGGTCACTCGATTCGTACTTCTAATCTAGCTTGGTGATTGTATGTTCGAACTTTTTTTAAAGGGTTTAGGGTTCAAGCCTTCCCAATACTTAAATTTTGACAATTCATTTTAATTTACAATAAATATCACTCTCTCTTACGAATATTAAATATGTCATTAACTTTTGGTAAATATTAAAACTTTTTAAAAAAAAGAGATGCGTAAATTGTTGAATAGGGAGATAAAATAACGTAAAAATAAAAAAAATCCACACCAGCCTCACCATTATCAGTGACCAAAATTAAAAAAATGTAAAGGGTTAGTGTGTTTTTGTAAAAAATAATTTGATGACCAAAATAGAAAAGAGACAATAATTTAATGACTAATGATATAGTTTATCCAAATTTATTTGATCTTTAGGTATTATGTTATGTTGACCCCACCTCATTGGTTAATATTCCTTTTGATCCAAGTTATTTACCAACTTTGTGGAAATGACCCTGCCGTTCAAATCTCACCATCTAAGGAACCAACTTTAACACTCCTCCCGGAAATAGGGAGTTTACTTATTTATGGGTAAACTATACTAGAGATCATCCAACTATAGCCTATTTTCATTTTGACCACTATTTTTGAATTCTTGTCAATCGGACCACCAACTATTTAAATGCATTCAATTAGACCACTTCCCATTAACATTTAACGAAAGTGCTAATGTGGCAGTTAATAAAATTGGTATAATTACACGTTTGGTCATTGTTACTTATATATTTTCTCTATTTGGTCATAAATTAAGTAAATTAAAATAAATTTAATCTTCGAATCAGTTAATCCCACGTGTTACTAATACCAAAATCATAACATGTGTCGCCACCCGATTGGAGGATTTAATTTATTTTAATTTAATATATTTAGTTTCTAACCAGTTAAGGGATGACACATGTCACCCTCAAGTGGAAAGAAAACTAAGAGTGATAAAGGGGCACAAGCGAATCAAAACCATCAACCATTGGGGGAAAAGGGAGAAGCTCAACCATTGGGCCAAGTTCATTTTCTAGTCTAAAATAGACTACATAATGTATATATCTTATTTCCTAGTATAATATTAAATTCTTAATTATAAAATATTTTTTATCTTAACTCAAATATTTAAATTTTATTCTTATAATATTTAAAATATATATTCAATAAATTAAGGAAAAATAATAAAATATATATTTTTATAGTTAAGAATTTTAACATATATTTCAAATATATATTCTTAACTTAAATAATAAACTTGGCCTACTTTAAACCAAAAATATATATATTCGTTAAATTAAGAAAAAATAATAAAATATATTTTTATAGTTAAGAATTTAAATATATATTTTACCTCAAATAATAAACTTGGCCCACTTTAAACCATAAATATATATATTCGATAAATTAAGAAAAAATAATAAAATATATATTTTTATAGTTAAGAATTTAATTATTTTAAAATATTTTAAATATATATTCTTACCTCAAATAATAAACTTGACATACTTTAAACCAAAAAAATATATATTCAATAAATTAAGAAAAAGTAATAAGATATATATTTCTATAGTTAAGAATTTAAGATTATATTAGAAAACAAGATTATACAACATATAGTCTTCTTTAAACCAAAAACTGAACTTGACCAAGTGGTTGGGCTTCTCCCTTCTCCCTTCTCCCTTCTCCCTTCTCCCTTCTCCCTTCTCCCTTCTCCCTTCTCCCCCATGGTTGCTGGTTTGAATCCCTTGTGCCTATTAGGTGACCTGATTAACAAAATTAAAAAATGGTGATCAAAATGAAAAAGAATTATAGTTGAGTAGTCTCTGGTATAGTTTACCCTTTATTTATTTATGATGTAAGGAGTTCATTTATGAGAATATGATTTGTTGAAAATTCAATATTCTCTGGTTTTTGGAGAATTTTAATAAATTAATTCAATTCGTTACTATTGTTTTATTAAAATTGTTGTAAACCATTATAGTAAAAAATTATAGTTTACTAAACTTTTTTTTATAAATTCATTTAATAATAACAATATTTAGATTTATATTTTATCATTTTAAAGTTTAATTTAAATTTTAATATTTATTAAAATTAAAATAATATTATTTGTCATATCCAGCATATTTAATCAATTATTTTTGATAAAATTTACTTATTTTATTAATCTGAAGTAAATACAATAATGAGCTATTCAATGATATCTATCAACTATTTGGCATTCAATGCGCACAGCCTCATACCCCTGACATTTATAGTGCTCGAACCTGAAATTTTAATGAATAACAATAATTTTTTTACCTATGAAGTCGCTCGGTTCGTAATTAATCAAATATTTTTGAATCTTCGTTAATAATATATTCTTAATAAGTAATATAAAAAAGTAATATTATACTATTTTAATATTTATTCCAGATTAATAAAGTTCAACTGAAAAGGAGAAATAGGTAATTCAGTATAGGAAAAAAACACCGACCTAATTAATTAAAAGCATAAAAAAAGGGCAGATTGAGCTTAAATTTTATAAATATTGGGCAAATCCCCCGATTCGAACCCTAAGTACTCGCTGTCACTCTCCTCTTTCTCCATTCCTATCTCAAATTGAGCCGAATTCATCTATCTAGGGTTTTGGAATTGGATTTCGTTTTGGAATTTGAGGAACCAGAAGAAAGAGCGCAAATGGAGGGAATGTTGTCTGCGACTGATAAGCAGAGCATGGTTTCCTCCTTTCTCGAGATCGCCGTTGGTCAAACTGCCGAAACTGCCATGCAGTTTTTGCAAGTAAGTTCTCATTTTCTCTCTATTCTCTTTTTTGGAACTTTTTTCATAAAATTCGAAGCTTTTTTGATGTCCAAGGGTTTCCACAATGTTGAAGCTTGTAAATTTTTTGTTTCTTTCCTTTTCCTCCCTTGAATTCTTAATGGCTCTGTGATTCAATTAGTAATGCTGAGGTAATATGTTATTAACGTAGATTTACTGAGAATATATATATTTTAGTTTAAATTTCTGAAAAGAGTATTGTTATATATGCCACATGCTCAATGGTAAAATATGTGTGGGAAACAGGCAACAAGCTGGAAGCTTGATGAAGCTCTTCAGCTATTTTATGTCGGTAATGAAGGTGGTGTAGTTGCACCGGCTTCTGAGTCTCCAGCTGTGGAAAACGTAGATTCTTGGGTTGATCAAAATTCTGGGTTAGAAATTTGCATTAAAGTTCACTCTAATTCAGCACCTAATTATTTGATTTCCTAATATTTACTGATGATTTTGCCGTTGGCTTCTAATGTTTACCAGTGAGTTGAAAGAATCTGGAACCAGCAATGTTGGATCCATTGCCGGAGAGGAAGTACGCCCTCCTTTACCTGTAGTAAGGGAGACACTTTATGATGATGCATCACTATATGGGTATCTTTCTACTTTTCATTTTTAACAGTTTGCTTGTTCTAGTGGAATATTATTTTTCTTTCTTTATATGAAATTGTAAATGTATATGTTGGTTTTTGCTTTTATGAACTTTTTGTGTGGGTGTGTGGGTGTCTATATGTCATGTGAGCATGCATGCCTATATTGTCTTTAGTTGTTGTATGATCTGGAGAGAATTCCACTGCAATTTCCTAATAATTTCTCACGTGGCAATATTTAATTTTCTACTATTCATATAGAGCATCAAGTTTGGGATTACCTCCACAACAGTCAGGTTCGTTAGTTGCATTCCGTAATTTTGATGAGGAAATGAAACGCCCTGGGGTTTGGGAATCGGATGAAGGCTCTTCTTCCATAGTGGATGCTCCTCGAGATAACCTTGCCTCTTTGTATCGTTCTCCTTTTCATCTGATGTTTCAGGGACCATTTGAAAAGGTATATTGATTTTCTTAGCATTTCTTATTCCATACGAAGTGACTTGTTTATCAACCTCAAAATTTTTCCTCATTTGAAGTGATCATGTCCCTTGTTTGATGATGTAGTGCATAGCTCAGGTCTAATAACTTTGTTATGGGGAAAAATGATATTTTGTGCTTTGTGGGTTAATGTGGACTAGAAAATTTTGAGACTGCCTTTTCCAGTAATTTTCTCTTCAACTTTTCAAGTCAATTTAACCAAAGCCTATATATGTCTATGGTTTAGGCAAAAGCTGCTGCATCTGTTGAAGACAAGTGGCTCCTTGTGAATTTACAATCTACCAAGGAGTTCAGCTCACATATGGTATTGTTCGAGTCTTCCCCCTTTCCTCTAGTTGAAACTAAAAAAGATTACTTCATTCCCTGGGTTTGAAGTGGCTTATAATGTAATATTACTTTCTGATGTTTTTGTTTCGGAAGCTTAATCGAGATACGTGGGGAAATGAAGCAGTTTCTCAAACTGTTAGCACTAACTTTATTTTCTGGCAGGTTAGTATGATGCTGTCTAGTTGTCCTTGCCTTGTTTGCCTTTTCTCTCTCTCTCTCTTCATCTACTATAAGTTTTACCCATATTCTATGGTGTTTTACCTTCCATGTATTTTCTAACGGATGCTATTGCATCTTTAGGAATGTTTTTTGAGCTCTCTTTATCTTGCTTGTGGTTAAATTTGCAAGAGTCTTATATGATACAAGATGTTTGCAATTTTTTGATAATAGAGATGCTTTCTTTTTAAATGGGAACTTAATCTGATACTTTAGTTTTATCAGTCAACAATTGATGGGAAAATCAAATAGTCCTCTAATAAAACTGCAGCATTTTACCGTGTATATGACCTTAGGAGCAAGAGCCTCATATGCATTGAGTGCCATATGCATCCTTAGAGGACTTCCATATCATTGTATTATTTAATCTCTTGTTTTATTTTATACTTTATTGATGCTGTCCTATGGATATAGGTATATGATGATACAAGCGAGGGGAGAAAAGTTTGCACCTATTACAAACTAGATTCGATTCCTGTAGTGCTTGTTATTGACCCAATCACAGGACAGAAAATGCGCTCCTGGTGTGGAATGGTTCAACCTGAGAGTTTGTTGGAGGTATCTATTTTGTTACATTAATGCAGATTGGAAGTTCACAGGAAAATAAGCAAAAATGAAAAATGAAAGGGTTTTAAAAGGAGGCTAATAAAATTATGATTTATGGTATTTGAAGATTTTTCGACGTATGCCTTTCGTGATTTGATACAAGAGATTTTAACCTTTAGGACCTGGTTCAATTCATGGATGGTGGCCCAAGGGATTATCATGCAACACTGTCTCATAAACGTCCAAGAGGAAGCTCAGTTACACCGCAGCAAAAGGTTAAAGGTAACCGTGTCTCTTCTTTCCTACGCAAAGTTTATCAGTAGAGAACCAGTTAACATATAAGTTTCAGTCTGTGGTGCATTGCATTCTTCTATCACCCTGATTTTGGTTAACTTAAGATGTAGTGCTGAGGCCTCTTGCAAGAAGGCAGTAAAGTTTACAATATTTTGATGTAATATATGATTCAAGAGGGAGAGAGAGAATTCCTTTATCTATGTGCTAGTTCTGTACAAAATACCTTATTTGTTGATAATGACAGGAAGGAATAACTTTTAAGAAATATGAAAAAAATATCCATCCAGAATAGTGTATGCTGTTTACGAAACTTTATGATTCGTCTGGATGTTCTGTATGTAATGTCAGTTCATTTTGCTATAGTGTCAACAGATGAAACAGATGAAGATAAGGAAATGTTAAGAGCGATAGCAGCTTCTATGGAGAATGCAGAAGAGACTATTAAAGCAACATCAGATGATAAATCATCACCCACTACTGGCAAGGAGGAACCGTGTTCAATTAAGAAGCTTGCGTATCCACCTCTTCCTGAAGAACCTAAGGGTGATAGGAACCACTTATGTAGGGTTGGAGTCCGTCTTCCTGATGGACGTAGGGTACAGAGAAATTTTCTCCGAACTGATCCAATACAGGTAAGCCGTAAGCATACTTTTGGGAGCTTATGATCTGTTATCATTATGTATTAGAATTTGGGTTGTTAAGTGTGGAATTCCTGGGATGATTCTGGTTGGAGCTAAGAATTTGCAGATTCAAGTATTCAACTATATTTCCTTGGATGCTGCTTGCTGTAAGGCACAACGTCAAAATTTGTCTTAAATGATTTGCAAATGTTGTATAACATTTTTAAGATGACAAAATCTTGGCATCTAAACAGCGTCGGTGAATCATTTGAACTGATCTCTCAGGTTCCTCCCCCTTCTACCCAATACCTGTTATTAAATGACATGTATACCAGTTTAAACTGGTATACATATTTAAAATTGATATTCCATTATATCGGTTTTTTGGGGAGTAGGGAGTAGTGACCATTGAATATAAACTTGAAAAATTTGTGAGAAAAATGTATTATTGTATCTTTGTGAAGAGTGATCGAGTCCTGAGGATTGTCCTATCTGATTGGTTTATTACTTTCATTTCATTTTGTCATTCTGCAGCTACTATGGTCATTCTGCTACTCTCAACTTGGTGAGGCTGAATCAAAGCCATTCCGGTTGACCCAACCGATTCCAGGAGCTTCAAAATCTCTGGATTGTGATAGCAAATTAACGTTTGGGGAGTCGGGACTTGCCAATTCAATGATATTAGTTGCATGGGAATGAATGTTGTCAAAAGATGGCAATGGTCTTCATGTTTCTTCAACCACCTAGAGTTGGAGTTTTGGTTTGCAAACTCAATATATCCCTGTTTTTCAGTTTATGCTGCTCTTCAAGGAGTTTATTTAAGAGGATAGGGGATGAAAGAACCATAAACTCTTATAATGTGTATATACTCAAATACTCATGCCTATGATACTTCTGCAGTTTGTTAAAGTTTTTTTTTTCAAAGACCAGAATTCTGAGTTGCTAATATTTTTGGGACGAGGAACTAGATTCTTTGAGCAAGGTCGTATGTTCAAATTTTGATATTTGCAAATGAAGTAAATTGGGTTGAGAGGGTTGCTCTTATAACCGTCCCATTTAAAATTCGATTTGGATTAGTCGGTTAATAGAACGGATATCAATGATTAATTTTAAAAATATTTCTCATTGATAATATATTTAATTTGCTCATATCGATCCAACTAAAATTTAAATCGGTTTTAATTCAATTTGTGTTGTTTTTGATTCAAATCAAGTTGGATACGAGTCTAGCTAAAATTCAAATCAATTTTAATTTAGTTTTGGTTGCTTTTGATTCAAATAAAATTAGATATGAGTCTTTACTGATACGATTAAAATTCAATTTGATTTGATTAAGTTTGATTTATTTTGGGTTTCGGATCAATTTTAAACAATAATATTTAGGTTAATTTTGAATCTCAAACAAGGTAAATCAGATCGAATTCATATCAAATTTGTCTGGTGTAAAAGTCTTGTAGTAGTGGATTCGACGCATTACGGTTTGGATGCGTCTGAGAAGGAGAATTCTCTATTGTTTGTGATTGGGACAAAGAAAATAATGAGTTAGAACCCTCTTAGCAGTCCATTGTTGATTGATCTTTCCCTTCCATGGACATAGGTTAAGGGACATACGTTAAAAACAAAATTAAATTATGTCGGCTTTTAAAAAATGTACAACTACATTATCTGTCAAACGTGTTCATATTTGTTCAAAATTTAAAAAAAAAAACATAAAAATTGAAGAACGGTCTTAAACCTAGATGGAATTGTTTCGGAACTGATTGGCAATAGTAACCCCAGCAGCATCTCTACTGTCTATGAAACATGGTTTGAATTTTGTTCAATAACAAATAGAAATAGAGGAAATGAAGTATAGGAAATGAAGTATGAGAAATGACTACCCAAAAACTAAAACAGAAAACTAGTAAAATTATTTGAATAAAATGACTCATCTGTGTTGCGGAAGACGGCTATCGGATTGAGCAAAATCACAACTGATAATTTGACAAAATAAAAATGAAGATAAAGAAGACACAAAATTTATGTGAAAAATCCCTAAATAATATAGGGTAAAAACCACAGGCAACGGTAGAAGAATTTCACTATGAAAAAATAGGAATTATAACCTCTCTCGATCTACCAAGGAGAAAACAATGATAATTCTCTCTTGATAAAAAAGGAGAAAACAACTCTCAAGAAACTCTCTAAATTCTCTCTAGTATTTGAAGAAAACTAGAATGCTTTGGGATGATTTTGAATCTAAATGAGCTAGGGTATTTATAGTTGAAGCTTAAGGACTAATCTTGTAAATACCCTAAAGTACAATGACTAAAATGTGTAATTTTGCCATGTCACTTTTCAACCATTATTAGTGCCAACTATGAACCATTATTGTTGCCAACTTACAATGCATTATGAAGCATTATTATGCATTATGCAACTATTATTAGTTGTATGGCAACTAATAATCTCCCACTTGAAGATTTGATTGGAACAATCATATCTTCACACCATTTTCTTTCTACCTTGTACCATCATGTTGCTTACGTCTCTGACAGGCCACAAGAGGATCGACACCAAGTAAATTTATCAGCATTGATCGCTTTCTTCATGAAATCTGCTATGTTGTCTTTGGTATGGATCTTCTGCATATCTACCGTCCCTTCTTCTACCTTTTCACGAATGAAATGATACTGAACTCGTATGTGCTTTGTCCTTGAATGAAATGTTGGATTCCTTGCTAAATGCAAGGCGCTTTGACTGTCACAAAACAAAGAGACATACTCTTGATTGTGCCCAAGCTCCTCCAATAGCATTTTCAACCAGATTGCTTCTTTACTAGCTTGTGTAGCTGCTACATATTCTGCCTCTGTTGTGGATGTAGCCACAACTGACTACAATTTTGAAACCCAGCTTATAGCTCCACCAATAACTTTGAACACATATCCTGTAGTAGATTTTCTTTTATCCAAATCCCTTGCATAGTCAGAATTGACATACACATTGATAAGTAAGTTTGATCCTCCGTAACATAATGCAACATTTGAGGTCCCTTTGATGTATCTCAGGATCCTCTTTACTGTATTCCAATGCTCTTTGCCTGGATTCGCCATGTACCGACTAACCACTCCCACTGCTTGTGCAATGTCTGGTCTTGTGCATATCATAGCGAACATTAAACTTCCCACTGCTGATGCATATGGTACTCGAGACATCTCCATCCTCTCTTCTTTACTACTAGGACTCATACTGGAGGATAATTTGAAGTTAATAGGAAGAGGGGTAGAAATTGGTTTACAATCTTGCATGTTGAATCGTGACAAGATATTCTTCAAGTAATTCTTTTGTGAAAGCCATACCTTCATTTAAAATTCCCTAGCCAATTGTGCCTTCAATTCTTCAATATGATCTTTGTTGGGTCCTGCAACCAACATGTCATCCACATACAACAACAATATAACAAAATCATTATCACCAGACCTCTTGAAATAAGCACAAGGGTTTGCATTAAGTATGTTGTATCCAAGGCACATAATGAAGGAATCAAATCTCTTATACCAACACCTCGGCGCCTGCTTTAGACCGTACAGAGATATGTTTAACCTGCAAACCAAGTTATTCTTTTCTTTTTCTTCAAAACCTTCAGGCTGAAGCATATAAATCTCTTCTTTAAGATTTCCATGAAGAAAAGCTGTTTTAACATCTAGCTGCTCTAGATGTAAATTCAATGTCGCACACATTGCCAAGACTACTCGAACTGTTGTTAGTCGAACCACATGAGAAAATATTTCATTGAAATTAATACCTTCTTTTTGAGTATATCCTTTGACCACCAGTCTTGCACGATACCTCTCAACTTGATCGTCACCATTTCACTTGATTTTGAAGACACATTTATTACCAATTGGATTCCTTCCTTGTGGTAGTGGCACAAGGTCCCATGTATTATTTTTATGAAGGGCTTCGATTTCTTCTTGCATCGCCATCATCCATAGTGAAGCATCTGAGCTTTTATTGCCTCTTGGTATGTTGATGGCTCACCGTCCTCTGTTAAAAGGCAGTATGCAATATTTCCTTCTATAACATAATCTGAGTGCCAATTGGGAGGTCTTCTCACACGATCTGATTGACGAGTTGTTGGAGCTTCAGAACTTTCTGGTTCTTGTTCATCATATGCTGGTTCTGCTTCAGAAGAATATCCTTGTTCAACATCCTTTTCCACATGTATTTGTGTAGTCTCTTGACTTTTCAGCGCTACCATCTTCTTCTTTTCTTTGTAGCTTATCTTCTACAAATATAACATCCCTGCTAATGATCACTTTGCGGGCAGTGGGATCCCACAAGCGATACCCCTTTACTCCATCAGCATACCCCAAGAATTTGCATTTACTGGATTTTGGATCCAACTTTGAAATTTCTTGGGAGTTGTACATCACGTACACAATACTTCCAAATACATGGAGGTTTGAATAATCAGTTGGTTTACCAGTCCACATCTCCATTGGTGTCTTTAGCTCTATTGCAGTTGATGGAGCTCGATTCACCAAATAACAGGCGGTATTGACTGCTTCTGCCCATAATGATTTTTCTAGGCTTGCATCCCTCAATATTGCTCTTGTTCTTTCTAACAAGGTTCTGTTCATCCGCTCTGCCACTCCATTTTGTTGAGGAGTGTTCGCCACTGTGAACTGTCTTTTGATGCATTCTTTCCTGCAAAAGTCATCAAATTCTTCACTTGTGTATTCTCCTCCATTATCTATTCTGAAACACTTGATCTTATTTCTATAATCAAGTTTCACCCGCGCTTTGAAGTTTTTGAAAGTTAAAAACACATCTGGCTTCTTCTTAATAGGGTACACCCAACATCTCCTGGAGTAGTCATGAATAAATGAGACAAAATATTTTGCTCCACCTAAGGATGTAACTGGTGCTTGCCATACATCAGAGTGAACTAATTCTAGAACACTTTTGCCTCTAGAATTTGATTTGTTTAATTTCAATCGGTGCTGCTTACTTGTTATGCAATGGTCACACAAAGGAAGTATTACCTTTGTTAAGCATGGAAGTAGCTTTTGCTCCATAAGGACTTTCATTCCTTGTTCTGACATGTGTCCAAGTTTCTGATGCCATAGCATTGCAGAATCTGAACTACATGAGGCAACAGAGGCTTCTGCTTCTAGCAAAGTCTCTCCCTTTAGCATATACAAGTTTGATGCTATCTTTTCACCTTTCAACACCACAAGCGCTCCACAGAACACCTTCATGATTCCTTTCTGTGCTTCAATCTTGCTTGCATTATTATCCAACAATCCGTAGGATAATAAATTTTTCTTCAGGCCTTTCACGTGCCGCACATCTCGAACAACTTTAATTGTTCCATTATACATATTCAATAAGGCATGATCATTGAAACTATACACAGATCCTCCTGAGACATGTTCATAATGATGAAACCATTCTCTTCTTGAGGTCATGTGATATGTTGCTCCCGAATCAATGAGTCATATATCTGCATATCTCTTTCTACCTTCCACGGTGGTTGACGCTTCACAACATAAAGCATCTCCATCATCTGAAGTGTTTGCGGTATTGCCTTGTGGATTGGAGTTTTTATTTAGACTCCAACAATCTTTCTTCAAGTGACCCTTCTTTCCACAATTGTAGCACTTTAAATTCTTCTTGCTCATCGACTTCGATCTACCATGTTTGTGACTACTACTTTGGCCACGTTCTATTGATCTCCATCTTATCGTTGTCAATGCTTCTGCTTGTTGCAGATTTACTTGTCTGTCTTCCTTGTTCTTGCGCCGATTTTCTTCTTGTAGAAAAGCAGCTGCAACATCATCGAAGACTAGACTGGTGACATTACTATTT